AAAGCTTTGTTTCTAGTTCTGGTTCTTGTTGTGAACGGGTATGACTTCATGTGTTCTGACCTTGGCGATGTCTTCAGGTGTTTGTCCCAGGGCTTTAAAGAGGTTGATTTGTGTGGGCAGGTAGCAGGTCCTGAAGTGATGGAGCGTCTCTGGATCAGCACCCGCGAACTCTTTCTTCGAGACTTCTGTCATCAGCTTCAGCTCAAACTCAGTGTTTACAGGCCCGGGCTCGATCATCGACACCCTGACACACAGACAGAGATGGGACATACATCAGACTGCAGAGAGAGCCATCAGATCTAGAACCACATCAGACTAATACAAATGTTGGTCAGCTTTTGATTTGAGCTGATTTAATGCCGGTTTCATCCTATATTTAATCATTTTAAGTTATTTGAAGGCCTCCTGGATGAGAAGCACTGCTGTAGAACTTGGCTTATTTCCTGATCTGTGATGTGTAATGGGTTTGAACCTGTAACTTCCCTCCAGACCACCAGAGGGAGCGGTCACACAACAACAGTGGGATTCTGCTAATGTTAATGTGGTTTGATCACTTACAAAAAGAGTCAAAGACCATCAGAAACCTGAAGAAGTGACATGAATAATCCTACTGAGAATCACATGACAGGAAGAGGAAATGCAGGAGTGTGTGTTCAGTGGCAAACGCTGAGACTCACTTGACGTTAAACTGGAGCAGCTGGATGGCGAGTCCCTCACACAGTCCCTCCGTGGCGAACTTTGACGCGGAGTAAACGTCATTGAACGCCACACCTGTGAAGAGCAGCACGAGTCTGATTTGTTTGGTGTTTGCACATGTGTGATTCAGCAGATGCTCCGAGCTCTTCTGTGTGTGTGACCGTCTCACCATGCAGGCCCAGCACGCTGCTGATGACCATGATGTGTCCAGAGCGTCTCCTCTTCATGTCGGGCATCACCTCTTTAAACATGCGCACAACGCCGAAGAAATTGGTCTCGAACACCTGCTTCATCTCGTCCAGACTGAGAGCCTCAACCGGCCCCACCAGACCCACGCCAGCATTATTAACTACAAACACACAGATCACAGTTTAACTGAACCACTCTTACTAACAGAAGCTTCCATCTTTACTTTCTTCGTAATTACTCGTTTAGTTACTGTGCTGCATTCACTTAGTTATGCTTTTTTATGTACAGTTCCATAAAAATGTTTTGGGGTCATTCAGAATGGATGAACAGATCTGTGTGTGTGTGTGTGTGTGTGTGTGTGTGTGTGTGT